TGCGAGATTATATTGCACAGCTGTTTCCAAAATCAAGAACAAGCTTAAAATCTCTACGTTTTACACAACATGGAGATAAAACTCCTTTAAGAGTAACTGAACATTTTGTTTTGACCTCCAGTAGTTCGACGTTTCACCTTTCTGCAGTGATGTGCAGGTAAAAACTGTAAAGTCATTGTTGGGTGTGTTTACAGGTGTAACAAGAGCTCATTTATGACCACACCTATCAGTGATAGTGGGCGTGGCCTAAGGTGAGACCAGCTAAACACTGCATTTCAGTCAAGTGTTCGTTCAGTGGAAATCTTAACATCATTATTGCAATAAGGGTTCAACTTGCTAATAAAAGATCATTTGATACGATTCAAAGCTCCAAAACAATCAATAAATGGACCTTGATGAGGGAAGGCTGTGGCTCAGTGGGTAGTGTGCTAAACTTCGAATCAGGGGATAGCGAGTTTGAGTCCCACTGCAGTCAGCATGTCGTTGTGTCCCTGGGCAAGGCACTTCACCCCAAATTGCTCCTGTGGGGATTGTCCACAGTACTGAATGTATGTAAGTCGCTTTGGATAAAAGCTAACAAATGACATGTAATGTAATGTAATGTGGGAAAATGGATTTCAAACTGCTGTTTTTTTTTAACCATGACCAATTTATCGTCCCGTTTGCACCATTACGAGTGCTAAAATCCATACAATCCGATTGAATATCATCAAAGTCAACTGCATAAGGATATACAAAAGGTCGAACAATATGATTTGGTTCTTAGTTGAAGGCTTCTGGCCCTGCCCAGTTACCAGAACCAAACAACAGATCAAATCAACAAAAAATACTCTACATTTGGACGCGTAAATTAAGATTTCTTGCTGAAATTGACATAAAAACATTTTCCCCCCGGAACAATTTGACCAGATTGAGTCGATTTGGGTCAAAGACATTGAACAAGTTGTCAAAACAAACCTCTTGCTTGGCGGAGGATTGGCCTTCTTCTGACTGCTAGTCGACTTTTTGAGGTTTAACATCCATTCTTTTTCCAGTTTATGGACGTTCTTCTGCTCTTCTTTAAAAATACCAACACTTTCTTGCCATTAAGGTCATTGGATGTTGTTGTTTGTCTCCAAAATCTGGTCAGGTTTGATGGTTCCATTGGCGAATACCGCTTTTAAAAAAAAGAGAAAATCGCTTGTTGTTTGTTTTCTTGGTTTCCACAGCTCTCTTTCAGAAGAGTTTTTCGGTCGTTCGAAAAGTACTTTTTCACTCTCGTCTTTTTCGGAGTCCAGATCCACCTCCTCCTCCTCCAGCACCAGCACCACCACGCCTGGACATTTCTTGATTTCCTCTGGCGCTGCAGCCCCGAGCCAGACAGACAAAGGAGGGGAAGCCCTGCCAAGTCTCTCCACTGCAGGCATGGCTTCTCCTTTCCCTCCCTTGCTCCCTCGCTCTTTCTTCGTCTCTCTCGAAATGTGGCAGCGTTCCCGAGAAGCTTTGGCGACGCTCCAGCATGTCTGCCACTCCGTCTGAACCTTTCCATCTTCCATCCATCCAAATCGTCCTTTTCGCGGTGGACCCCCGCCCTCCTAACCCACATCCTCCTTTCCCCAGTCCAACCCCCTCTAGTACAACTCCCAAAAAACAACAAATCAATCCAAAAAAATCCAAACAGTTGACTCTGTTTTCCTCCTGTCTTCCCATTTCTCTCAGTCTCTGTAACACTGAACCCATAAACCACCGAGTCAATATCTTCTCCACGCAACCTTTACACTTCCTACTTATTTCTGTCATCTTTTAAATGTTAGAGGTTGGGGTGTGAGTGTGTGTGTGTGTGTGTGTGTGTGTGTGTGTGTGTGTGTGTGTGTGTGTGTGTGTGTGTGTGTGTGTGTGTGTGTGTGTGTGTGTGTGCCTTTTGTTCGGTGCCAGTGCAGATCTATTCATCTCGTGCCAAGCCTCAGCGCCCTCACTTGTAGTGGAGAGGGGGCAGGTTGGTGCCAATTGCCCCAACTGCCAACTTGGTGCTGCTGTCGGTCTGTTTGTTTAAAAAAAACATCCCTATCTCACACAACACACTTTTGTTTAAGCCATTTTCTTGTTAGAGTGACAATTACGGTTGAGGAAGAACAATGTTTTGGATTATTGAAAGCAAATACTGACGTTTAGGAAGTGAAACTGCGAAAATCTGATGTTTAATATCCCTTTTTATGTCAATAACGCAATATTATCTTTCTAGATTTTAAGTGAAAATGGTAATATGGTGATCAATATGTCTCAATATTTGTACATGTTTCTATTTTTCTATGTAATTGATTAATTGTTATTTGTTTATTGTTTTTTACATTTTTCTGCAAAAAGTATTCCATAGAAAATAGAAAATAGTTTTTTATTGTCAATGTGATTAATTAGGACTTGAATATCAACTTTAAGACGGTTAAAGGTGGGGTAGGTAAGTTTGAGAAACCGGCTCGAGATACACTTTTTGTTATATTCCATGGAATGCTCTTAACATCCCGATAGCAATGAATATCTGAAGTGCTTTGACAAAAAATCCATAACAAAATATCATCTGTGGAAGCCGTGGTACTGTAAAAAGTACGACCAATCATCTGAGCCGGCCCGGCTAAAATAACTGGATGGCCTACCTGCCTGTCAGCCTTCCATCTGTGCACAAACTTATCTCGTGCCCTCCTTGGTCATGTGCGCGTTCGTGTGTGTTGGAGGAGGGGCTCTGTAAGGAAGTGGCAGTTTTTTTCCGGTTGTGTATTTTCAAATTCTAGCGCACTCAAGCTGGTTTCTCCAAAATTACCTACCCCACCTTTAACATGTTATTGTAGTGATCACTGATTCATACACTGGGGTTACATAATTCAATCCGGGAACTACAGGTTGGGGGTATTGTTTCCGCCCGGACATATATGTTGACGGTACCTCCGGGGTACCTACTGTGTGTCCTCCTCTTTCACTTTCTCTTCTCCTCTTTCCTGCAACCCGACAGCACGTCGATTTCTGCTCCCCAATAAAGAGAGATTTGCACCTCCGATGCACCGCCTCCGTCTCCCTTCTCTCGGCACTACATTGGTGACCCTGACATAAGTCTCGCGAAGGATCCGGGACTGACTCGAACACGGCAAAAAGACTCTTGTTTTTTCTCGAAATGCCGGGGATTTTTGGAGACCTCCGTAGCTGCCACGTGCGCTCGGACTGTGGCTCGGTGCGCCCCACGGAATGGACGCGGACGACGCTCGCCATTTCCACGGCTTTTCGGCTCTGGGGGACGGCAAGCCTTCCATGGGGCCGGTACGCGACCGTGCCGGGTTGGTTCGGGACATGCGGCTGCATGTCCGGCCAGCGACTAACGGCCGCCGAGATCAGCTAGCCACGACTGCTAACGGCTAGCAGCTGGCAACAGCTAACAACGGCTAGCCACAGCAGCTAGCGGCTGACATCAGACTGTTTTTTTATTTTTATTTTTGTTTTTTTGTGGTGCCGGAGAGGGGGTTCGATCAAGTCTGGTCGGCCTCGCGTGGATCCTCTCGCTATTTCGCCCACCTGTTTTTGTTCGTGGACGGGACAACCATTTTTGAGCTTTTTCTGGTGCCTGAGAGGTGGTTCGGCCATGTCTGGTCGGCCTCGTGTGGACCCTCTCGCTTTATCACCACCTCGACGGCGGTTTCGGACGTCACACAGTGGCGCGCTTCTGGACCCCGTCTCGCCTCTTCCCTCGCCTCGGCGGTTCCGGACGTCGCCCATGCCTTCATCGGCCCGTGGGTGGCGCGCTTCGGGACCCTGCCTGGCCTCTTCTCTAACCGCGGCTCACGGTTGGCCTCGACGGCGCCCCGTCTGGCCTCTCCCCTGTCCACGGCTTCCTCCTCCCGGGGACACGGCTCCTTCCTCCCGAGGACTTCGTGCCCGCCGCCGCTGTGCCTTCGCCTGCGGCCGGGCAGCGCTCCTCCCTGCTGGGGACCTCCGGGTGTTTCACGCCTGTCCCCACGACGCGACCCTCTCCTGCGGCCCCCTTCCGACGGCCCGTTCCATGGCCCGGCCCTCGCCGGCGGCCCCGCCCTCCTCGGCCCCTGTGGTGTTTCCTCCCGACGCGAGGATTGTGTCCATGGTTGAATTCTGGGGGGGCTTGTGTAGTGATCACTGATTCATACACTGGGGTTACATAATTCAATCCGGGAACTACAGGTTGGGGGTATTGTTTCCGCCCAGACATATATGTTGACGGTACCTCCGGGGTACCTACTGTGTGTCCTCCTCTTTCACTTTCTCTTCTCCTCTTTCCTGCAACCCGACAGCATGTCGATTTCTGCTCCCCAATAAAGAGAGATTTGCACCTCCGATGCACCGCCTCCGTCTCCCTTCTCTCTGCACTACATTATAACTTGCAATTGAAATATTTCCAATGTAATAAACAATGATCAATGTTGGCCAGCCCCACGAGGCCTACAAATGAATAAATAAAATGTATCATAGTATTAAACATTGGCTCCTTTGGGGTGCAATAATTTCCAATTAAACACTCATGTATGCTTGTTGACATTATGCTTAACTACCTTTACTTAATTACATTTCTGAGTAGCCTACTTCTTTCAGCACTGTGATAATGGGTAAGAGTGGAGATAAAAGAGCAATTCTTCAGTAGGAACATATAAAAGTTGCATTGATTAGTATTAATTACACACGTGTTTGTAGTATTAATCATACTCATACAGTGCTCAAGAGGCAAACTGCTTGCGCATGCGCAGTAGTAGAAGCCGGTGCTAACAGCTAGATAGCTTCTACAGAAACAGTTAAGGAAGTTATAGAGCATCTTTGTTAGTAATTAACTTATTAACGTCTCTATAACGGATACATCCCGTCGTGACCAAGACAACAACGCCAACGTCTACCACAGCACAAAATAAACCAGCAAAAATATCGCTTTATTTCGCTAGAATAACGTTTAAGTTGTCGTAGAGTTACATCTGTGTTTCTAATGAAGCTAACATGCTAAGGCTAGGCTACCTTACCTGAGACTTTGATGCCCGCAGTACGGCCGGGCAGGGCTGATTCTGGGGTCGGCTTCTGGGCTTTGGAGGACATCTCTCCCATACCACTGTTCACAAAATGACGCAAAATGAGCCTTAGCCTGGAGGACGAGAACATTGAACCAGCAGCAGCTCCGATACACTCCTGCAGCAATGAGGCTAGCTCAACTACATAACAGCGATCTCATCTTACAAAACAGGCTTGTGTAACTGCCTCCGTAACCATGTGTTGCTCAACAGTGACAGTAAACAAGACAGCATGGCTAGATACAGATATGGGAGAAGTAGGCTAATCAGATATTGTACTTATGTAAAAGTAGAAGTAGGCTACCAGAGTGTAGTAATAGTCTGCATTTAAAATGTTATCAAGTAAAATAAAAACATATTGGTATTGTAAAAATACTACTCATTATGCACATTGGCAAATATATAATATATGTTCTGATTATAATGATTGATCATTAAAGTGTTCTCAAAGCTGGTAAAGGTGCAGCTAGTTTGAATGACTTTGTATACGGCAGGGTAGCTTGTGAATTTACTCCAGGTGGAACTTAAGTCTCAGTGTTACACTTCATTATATTTCACATCATTAAACCAAAGTAATACTTTATTATAACTTATGAAAACACCAAAACTATTGCACGGTTGGTTATATGTAATGCAAACTCAATACACGTGGAAAGAAAAGGATGAAAAAAACCCATATCTTTGGACGATCATGACCGACTGTAACTTGTGATTTTGTCATCATGTTTGACACAATTTAACACCAAGTTGCTCCACTTTCCTTGTTTTTTGTTGTTATTGTTGTGATGTTTCCTGCAAATACACAACCATCTTGATATTAACCATGATTATCAAACAAAACTCAGGTTATAGGGGAACTCAAGGGCATTCATGTGTTTATTCACAGTACATTAAGTAGATGAAATGGGCCTTAATCACGGAATGTATATCCATAAATGTTTAGATTTAAACTGTCATTGGCTGCAGATATGAAAAAACAAAACATCACTTAATATTGCATCAGCTAAAAACACAAATGTTGCGGTAAAATACAAATAAGTGCAATAATTTTTTTATTGAAGAAAATATCTGAATACTTCCTGCACCACTGGTCCTATTGCATATAGACTATATGGCCAAAAGTATGTGGACACCCTTAACCACCAGCAGCAGATTAAGGCTCTTAGTTTTGGAATAGGTGTTCAACATTAACATAGCTATCACATCAATGGATCCACATACGTATGTAATGTGATTTTATTTATTCACGTTGATCTGTTGTTTTCCTGTAAATGAAAAGGCGGTTTATCTCAGATTCAGATGGATGTTTCTGTGTTTGTTGCTGAGGCTCTCACTCTTTCTTTCCTCCCTCCATCATCAGAGAGAGAGAGAGGGAGGACAGAGAAGCTGAGGATGTAAAATTCAGCCTCCATGTGACTCCCTCTCTTTCAGAGGACCTCCCCCTCCTCTCCTCTCTCCTCTCTCCCTCTGACTGCGCCCAACTTCTCTCCCTCCATCCCTCCATTCAGCTCCTGTATCCTCCTCCTGACTGCACCCTGCACACAAAACCTGCTTTTTTAAAGGCTTAGGATATTCTGGGTTTTGGACTATTTGTGCATGAGGAGTTCTTCTGCAGAGAGGAAAAAAGAACAATCGTCTTTTTTTTTGAATTTTTGAATTCAGCTGCAGTGGAAGGACAGTCCGACCTCCGCATCCCCCGCAACATCCAAACCGCATCCTCAGCATCCCTGCATGGACCTCCGGAGGACCGGGAGCTGGACGCACATCAATCCGGTGTAAAGCGCTCTATCTCCGGACGAACACAACCTCTCATCGGTGGTTTTATGGAGGTCTTGACTGCATAAAATGTCAGTAAATATCGATGATAAAACAAAAAAAAATAGAAAGCTGCGCCACTAATGCTGCTCACTGCTACTGGAAGGTATTGTTGGTTGGTTTTTCCATACATGTATATATCGTATATTCATTTTAAACCGAAATGTGTATAGGCCTTGTGTTTTTTAACCCTCCACCAGCTCCTTTCATCTGCGCTAAATCTGATCCTGCAGCAGCCGCAGTGTCGTGCTCTGCGGAACTTCTCCTCTCCTTTGAAATATTAGCAGAAGGCTGCACACACACACACACACACACACACACACACACACACACACACACACACACACACACACACACACACACACACACACACACACACACACGCACACTCAGAATACACACCTAAATATTGCATAAAATCCATGTGATGTTTTACTCTGGGTGTTAACATTTTATAAAACCCTAGAATCTTAATAATTGCTATATCTTTTATTATGGTGAAATGCATGGGTTCACAAACATGCATTACCATTTGAGTCATTTAAGATGTGCACTCGAGTATTGCAGATTTTTTTAGGCTCTCTTCACACACGCCCGACCCCCACAAAGGCAGCCCCCCCCCCCCCCCCTGCTCCCCCCCCCCACCCCCCCCTCTCTGCATTTTTAGCCTACATGAGCTATCTGGGTCATTAGCATTTGAGCGTTTAATGAAGCTGCAGATGGGTCCTCTCTTCTGCCGGAGAGCCGTTGAGCATTGCTCCTTCTCCATCTGCAGCAACCACATGAAAGAATACAATAAAAATGCTCCATGACAGGATGTTTGAAGCTCTCAGGGTGCATGGGATGGAGGTAAAAGCGCAGCAGCAGCTTCCTCCCTGCAGCTGTCATTAATGCAGTGCTGTGTAAGAACGTGCATTATGGATGCTGCTGCTGCTGCTGCTGGATAATGGAGGATAATGCTTTAATGGTCCGCAGTGCTGCTTAAAGGAACATACCGGTGGTTCTTTTGCTTCCATAAATACTGCATATTCTTACATTACTTTCCCTCTGCATGCTGCATTTTTTTCAGTTTTACAGGAAGGCTTTATTGGTTTCTGTTAATTTCAGTTTGAAATCACTCTACAGAGACATCAATCAGGCACTCCATCTCCAAGTCACATCATGTCTTTTCCTGGAGTTGAAATTGCATCATTGTATGACATGCACTTAGAAGTGTTTGGATCTCCAGCGAGAATTAATCTAGGTTCTGAAACACAAAATTACATTAGCTTTAAATCAGATGGCAAGTAGACATTATTTTGGTTTTAAAAGCCCAGCAAAAATGTGAAAATGATGGCATTAGGTCGTAGCAAATAGATTTTTTTGCAAGGGGAGAAATCAATGAAAACCAGGGGGTGCGTGGATGTTGGAAAACACATTAATTAGCATATTTTAAACATGCAAAATGCTGGTATTGCAATTGTAAGTGGTAAGCATTTATCTTGAAATTGTTAATGTAGCCTGGATATAAATGGTATAGTCAGTTTCGTCATTGGGTAAAACGAAGCTGTCCCAGCAGGAAGCCTTTTTTTGTGGAGGTCAGCAGGACATCACACACACACACACACACACACACACACACACACACACACACACACACACACACACACACACACCTGTTTTAGGACTACAGGAGGAGACAGAGCACTGCAGAAAAAAAGGGGGGCGGCAGAAGTGTCTCAATACATCATGTACTTTTAATAATAGTCAGTATAATCACTAAACTAAATAATCAGCATTAATGACATTATTATAAATGCTATATTCTCTAACTCCTGGGTGTAGTCAGAATACATAATATATGTATTTTGTATTAATGGTCTATGTGCATATGCATGGTCATGATAAATAAGTCAGTATGGCCAACACGTATACAACTAGTAATTGAGATATGTGGTGAGAAAAGTGACTATTATACATATTTACACCTACTAAAGTCAATTAACGCAGGCTGTATGAGCTGATACGAGATGCCTTGGTTAAACATTTAGTAATTTGTCTGGGTTCTTTTATAAAAATTCATCAAATTTGAACATTTATTGTTATTTATGTAATAGATGTCCCTCAATGCCTTGATAATAAAAGCACAAGGACTGCCACCAATGCCAAAAAGCCTCTTGAAGGTTGAGATAACTATGTAAGAGACAAAGTGCACAAAGCCCAGTGAAGCTGAACACAGAGGTACAAAGGAATAAAGTGCTATTGAGCAGTGCTGGAAGAAAATGGGATTTTTTTGGAGAATAAAAAGGCAAAAAATGGACAAACTGGAGCAGCTACAAAACGGCAAAAAACACAGCATTTTTTTCACGAGAACTGAAATGAGTTCAAGTGAAATATTACTACGGAAAAGAATGATGGGTCGTCTCTCCTCGTGTTCACAGCGGACCTTGATTTAAATGTCCATACAATTAAGGCACGCGGTGAATGCCAAGAGAGTGACCTGAAAATCAACGCTCAACACAGAGTAGGACTGCCTCTAGTGGCCATATTTCATATCTACAACCCTCAGTTTAAAACTGACATAAATATCAAGTGCTTTTCTAAATCACCAACATGGATTTCTATAATGAAGATGGCAGATTTCTGGGATTTTTTTGTAGGTGGGATGAGCGTGTTGCAATACCACTAATGGCCACTAGATGGTGCTGAAAGTCATCAAACTGTCAAATGCTTTTAAAAAATAAAAAATGTGGGCATTGAAAGATACATGTTATATTTGGGTCTTGGATATTTTGATAATTATGGTACAATACAAAGTTTTATTAAGTAATATTTGATCACAATGGGAGACACTTGGTTAAATAAAGGATAAATAAAATGTAGTTTTGTGTTTCCTTTTGAGCAGCACATTTAAGTGCATTGTTGCAGTTGTAGGATTATAATTGTACATAGTTTAGCATTTTGATATCTAATACTTTTATGAATATAACAACTTTGTGTACTATTCATTTGTGATGTTAAGTTAATCTATTATACAATGACCCCCTTCCTTATGCAGTGCATCTAGTCCCGGTGATACAAATATGCTTTACTTTGTACAATTAAGGGTCTTCAAAATAAGCAAAAAAAACGGACTCCCATGTTCTCTCGTCTCCACCTCCACATCATGATTTTCCTCGGTTGCATCTCCCTTGCATCAGTCTCGGCAGATCAGACTCCTAAATCACCAAAAAAAACCTCTCATATTTTTAAGAAATAAGGAATCTGACGTCGAGTGTACGTCGAACTGATGCATCTTATTCATTTGAGGTTTTACATTTACATTCAAAGTAATAATGGACTACAGAGAAAACAGTATGAGCAAGGCAAGAC